TTGTCTTATTTGGTTACGATTTTGCTGGGCACCCGTTCGTTTTGACGAACTGGTTGTTGCCGTAGGCAGGCAAAATCGAGTGGATTTGCCGCGATATCGCGGCTACGTTCGGGCGTGGGCTTAAGGACCTTGTACTCGGTTACGAGGGACTCTCTGGACGCGCCTTAGGCTGACAGCGACGGGCGACCGTAGAGAGAAAGAGAGAGAGAGACAGAGAGAGAGAGACAGAGAGAGAGAGAGAGAGAGAGAGAGAGAGAAAGAGAGAGAGAGAGAGAGAGAGAGAGAGAGAGAGGACAAAGCCCATTAGAGAGTGCCCGTTTGCTTTGAAACGGGCTGCTTTCTTGGGCCACCACGCGCCTGTATGAGGCGCCCAGCTTGGACCAGATACAGGCGCAAGGTAGGGGGCAAGAAGACCCTCTGAGCTTGACTTTAGTTCGACCTTGGGAAACGACACAGAGGTTGCTCGTTGAAAACGAGTTGCCCCTCGCAAAAACAGAAAAAACAAAAAGGGGAAAAAAAAAAAAAAAAGTCGCGAACCTAATTGCGACGTGGGTCCAGATGCAGGGGGTAGAAGCTTCTCGGCCCTGAATTGACAGCAGACTGTTGGATTTCAACAGTTTGCTTTAATTGGCTCTATACGGCCAGTTGGGGCTGCGTCTGGCCGGGGGTGGCGGCCAGATGCATTACCAAGGCCAGGAACTTGGTTCCCCTAGGGGAACATAAAGTTTATCGGCCCTTGATCTCGTCTGAGATCAAGGGCCAGGCCTCACTTCGAGTATTGGCTGGGGGTAAAGCAGCTACCCACAGCCTCCAGCCGGCTATAAAACAAGCCAGCAGCCAGCCAGCCAGCATTCATTTGTGGCTGGTGCTGCTGACATTCTACTTGGTTGAATGTTGGCTGCTGGTGTGAGGGAGCTGCTGGAAAGTGAGGTGGAGCTAAGGTGAAGGTCTGCAAGAAAGGAGGGGTAGGACTGCTGGAGGTGGCCATAGCTGTGGAACACAGCCATAGCCACCATCTCAGCAGGGTGGAGAGAGAGAGAAGTGYTGGGGGTCTGCAGGGAGCATGAGAGTGAGGGCAGCCGTAGCTGCCGCTGCACTTGGTGGAGCGCAGGGGAGGTGCTATCTGCTTGGCACGACGGCTATGCTTTTTCGGCGGTGACGCGGAAGCGCTGCCAAAATCTTCCAGCGATGGCAGGAGGTTTGACGATGGTGGTGCGGATGTGCTGCCGAAATCTTCCGGCATCGACGGTATTTTTTTTGGCAGCAACGCGTTCTAGGTGGTAGTGTGGAAGTGTTGTCCGGGTTTTGCGGCGGCGGTAATGGCCTTGAGGAGCGTCATTAAGAGGGGGTGTGCTTTGAGGTGGTGTTGACGCTGTGCTATCCGCATATCGTGGCGGCGACGCCTTGACACACTGGTGGCATAGTGGCATTGGTCGCAAGTGGTGATGAAGTTGAGACGCTGAGGGGATTGTGTGTCAGTGGGCGATCCTTGAGGGAGTGATGTAGATCACGTTTTTGACAGTTTACTGTCGCGATCTTCCCACTTGGAGTGTGGTTTATACTGCTTCCTGAGTGGGCCGTTTGCTATCTTTGGTTCAGCTTTACTCAAGGTCAGTTAACCTGACTCAGTTCCCTTCACACTTGTGTGAACCCACACTTGTTTGACCCTGTTTCTTTGAATGTTCACTGAAGAGGTAGAGGGAATGTGTGTTTGCACGTGTGAATGGAAGTCTGACGTGAGTTAGGGACTGCATTGTTTTCTTTTGAACTTGTTGTTTGATCTGATGTGCAGGTAGGTAGAGGGGTGCCTGAAAAATGAAGGTGTAATCATGTCAACGAAAGTGAATGGAAGGGTGGTTGTCTTCTATTTATTTTGCTTGCATGCATGTTGAAAGGATGGGGAGACAGCAGACGACGAGGAACGGAGCGATCACACAAAAGAGAAGAAGTGAATTGGACATAGATTTTTCCCGAGGTTACCCATTCTTTCCCGAATGTCCCTCTCTGTCTATGCCCGTCTGTCTGAATGCCTTTTTCTCTGTGACCTTCTCCTTCGTCTAGGCTCGCTTTTGACGTCAAGAGATAAAGGGCTGACCGTCTGCCATGGTAAGTGCATTTCCTTTCCCTAGGAGGCATCTCAGGCGGGGGTTCGTTGCCTTAGGGGCCGACCCTGTTAACGACTTGGAGTGGACCGCTTAGGCGGGTGGGTACCATGCTGTCGTGGTGGAGCCAGCCCGACTTTTGAGATCCGAGGTTCACTCGGGCGAGGACGAGGGGTATCCCTGACCACCTCCTAGGGGATGGAAGTGTGCTATTCACGGAAGGCGTTAAGTCCTTGACGGCTCACGCTAAGAAGAACCGCTATAGTTTACTCTTCTAGTGGTCGTCTTACGAGCCACAGATGAGTGAGGAGCTGGCGCCATAAGAAGCCCAGTTCGTGCGATCACTAGCTATAGACGGAGTGCGAGTAGGCACTGCCTTCGCGGATAGGGTTGCACCATAAGAAGTGCAAGTCTGGGATGGTCAGACTAGTTGACAAATAAAATGTAACTAAAGCATTGCCTTGAATATCTTTATATCACAGACCGGTATTTCATCACTCGCGAGACAGAAAAAGTAACCATTGCTCAGGGGGACAAAGCGACCAACAAAATTTGAAAATGGATCATTGACCTCAATGAGGCATCCAGCGTTCGGTCGTTCAAGTCAAGTGTTGACTCGTATAGTGGTAGCCGGATTACTCGCAGACGGCATTCGCACCAAAGTTAGAGAAGTAGTGACGCCATCATTAAAACAATGGCACTCTAACTCTGCTTGAGAGTCGGGGCGCCCATATTCTTTTCTAGCGGTCAGTATGGGGAGGAAAGAAAAAAACTTGGCAACGCATCTCATCAAGTCGAAAAAGTCGTGACAGTCCAACCGTCTGGCAAGTAGAGTGCAGATACTTTAGTCGGACGTCATTTGAGCTTCGCATCGTGTATAAGTCATGCTTTGTCCTTTTGTTGATAAGTGATGTCCAGAGGCGAGTCAACTCATGTGCCTCGTCGTTGGTTGAAAGTCAAATCAACCCTTGTTAAATTGATCGGGACGAGTGGTATGCATGGTTGTATTATATATAAGTTGATCTTAGTATATATGTCAGCTTACGTCGACCTGAGTCTTTTTTTGATGTTTAACTTTTGATTGTGTTTGGAAGAAGGTACTAGGATTGATTGAGGTTTTCTTATGCTTGGAAAATTACGTCCTAGTCGACCGACGTTGGTCCGATCCCTGGGAGATCAGCGTCCCAAGGACAGACGGCGTTCGGGTCCACTTTGGCGTTTAACCATGCATACCTATGCTACAGCGAACAAGCAAACGCCTTCGGCCGGCCTACCTCTGCAATTGCATTATGAAAGCTTTCGCCTGTGGGTCGGTAGCTCGGCGGGGATACGCCCCTAAGGGTGGTGACAGCCCCTTAGGGGAGGTAAGTTGTGCCCCGCGAGAACCTATCCTGTCGTAGGGGACCATGGGATGTACAGCTGGCGCACTCGGCCGGAGCGGCAAAGGGCTGACGCGGGTTACGGTATCGTCCCCGAGTTGTCTCTAAAAAGTAGAAAGACTAAGTTTCTCCTGCGGACGCGGCCGGGAGGGCCCTCGCTCGCGTGGGGGCCGAAGCGCTCGACGACACTACCAGGCGGATGCGCTGGGGGTCACTCAGCACCCACTAAGGGCTTCACCTCCCTGCAGCTCCGCGGCCGGGAGGCTTCCGCACCACTGCCACCGTGGTGCTACAGTCCCGGCTAGGCGAGGGGTGAGCCCCTCACTCCTCCCGCACTCGCCAACAATGCCTGCCCCTCCCGGAGCCACTCCCCCCCCATGGCCTCGACAACCCCAAGGGGAGGCATGCGCTCAACCGCTGTTACGGGGACCCAGGAAGTACGGTTGGGATATCAGCATCCAGTGGGCACCCTTGCAGGTGGCTCCCCAAATCCAGAGTTGCAAAGCCCTGTGTACTTTCGTGCCCCTGGGAGAGCGCGCTCTCAGTGTGTGAGTGGTAGTGCGTCAACCTCATGCTGTGTCGGCTGCATATGCACGAGGTTGCACTCACAGTTTGTATTCGTACTGGGAATCAAAATCAAAATCAAAAGAGCCACGCTCTCATCTTAGGACACCTGCGTTATCTTCTAGCAGATCTGCCGCTTCCGCCAAGGTCCCGGCGTGCACGTGCGCGAGGGCGGGGAATGGTCGGGGAGGAGTGTGGGAAAGGGGGGGGGAGAGATGAGGCGCACGTGCACACGAGGGGAGTTGGGTCGCATGGCGGAGGTGGGAGGAGGGGCGCAGAGAGAAGGGCGGAAGGGGGGGGGAGAGAGGGAGGAGGATCAGGGGTGAAGCGCTGGCGGAAGAGAATCGGGATCGGGGGAGTAGGAGTGGGGATTGGGCTGGGAAGGGGGGAGAACGAAAAAGTGGGGGTAAGCCGAGGAGGGGTTAGGCAAAGTCGGGGAAGAAGCGGGCTCGAAGTCGGGATGGAGGTGATGGGGGGAAGGGGAACGTGATCGCAATTAAGTGCGATCCAGGTGCAGTCGGGATCGAAGTGAGGCGGGAAAGTGTCGGGGTTGGGCAGGGGGTGGGACGGAGTGGGTGAATGGGGAGGGGAAGAGTCGGGATTGATCGCGATCCATGCGTCGGGATCGGAGTGAGGCGGGAAAGTGTCGGGGTTGGGCAGGGGGT